GGCTCACTTTTTTATTATTTGTTTTCAAGACTGTACCAATGGCCCGTGCAATTATTTTCACTATGAATTCCCCTTACATCCTTTCATGGTCTAATAAAACTAATAGGACTCTAAAGATTCTTCTATTTTTTTTTTTTTAAAGCTTAAAACCATGTGGCACTGGTTTATTGAGTCAGCAACTTGCTTAAACTTTTTCAAATTCCATACCCTAAGTGAAAAATGAGATTTACAAAGCTAATGGAAAATAAATGTCTTCTGACTGTGAGATACATTGACTGGCCTCTTTGACTTCTCCCATAAAAACAGATGGAAGCAATAGCTACAGTGAATTGCTCACTGTATTTAGGGCACCTTATTGCCTTAGGTAAGCCCCCCTCCATTAACTCCAGTGGCAACTGGGCATGTGGTAGGCTTGCAGAATAAGGCTGCTTAATGAGCCCAGCCCTGTGGTGGGTTTTCTTCCTTTGCCATGACACTGGTTGGAAATTTTCTCTGCACGGAGGACCTTCAGTGATCTGAGGATAAGTGTGGTCTTGCACTTAAACTGCAACCTCTTTGGGAAAAATCAATTTTTTGGCTCTGTGTTTGGATAACACCTAACAAGAGGGGAGTTCATGCCCATGACTGGGGCTCCTAGCTGCTCTGGAGTACAAATTGTTACTAATAGTTATATCCTCCCTTTCCTTAGGCTCTTGAGTGAGCCCCTCAGCACAAGGCTGAATTTCACCCAGTCTGAAAACGGAACCAAGTTGGAAATAAAAAAAACAAAAAAACAAAACTACCCCCCAAAATAGGAAATATCCACAGTGCCTATGCAAGGTCTCACTGGAAAAAGGTCTCTCTCGAGAAGCAATTGAAACCTAAATGGGACCTACTTTGTTTCCAGCCCGTGTGCAAGCGTTGCCTCCCAGTTCTTAAGAACAAGATGCCAATGCAAGTTCGCACATGATTGGCAAGCCCTTTACAATGCGCCATTGTGTCCAGGCCCTTCGTCGCCGCATGCACCCGAGGAAAACTATTGTGTTCAGGAACAGCTTGTTTTGGGGCCAAGCTTTCCAAGGAACTGCTAATAAAACAGCAAGCAACAGAAACATTTCGCTGAACGTATATGAATCATACCTTGTTGGCGACTCCTTTGAATCACGGCTTGCAAAGATCTCCCTAGAGTGCAATGTTTTATACTGGAAGAGAGCAGCCATCCTCAGCAGTGATACAACACATGTGTTCAGCTGATGGATGGTCATGTTCCCGCAAGAGCTGAAACATTTTTTTAAAAAGAGAAAAGGAAAAAAACCTCGAGTAGCTGGAGAGTAATTCCAGTATCATGTTCAATTTCCTGACTATTAATGACAGTGAGCTTTGGCATTTTATGCGTTTCAGATGCATCAGAGTTGCCGTGATGGGTGGTGACATCCTTGTCACAACCATAGTAATAAATACGGCTTCACCAGCGCTGGACTGCTGCCTCGGCGAGTGAGCCGGAGGAGGCAGGTTAAGAAGGGAGGGAAATTCCTTCAGCTTTACGTACAAAAGTCTGCGGCAGGTGGGAAAAAAAGGGCAAGATCCAGTCCTAATCCCAGTGGAGTCGGTGAGAATTTTGCTATGAGGGTCAAGATTAGCCCCTCGATCAACCAAAAAAAAAGTTTATGATGGCTAATCCCTTAGAAGGAACCATGAGAAAATTCAAGTTTTTATGATCCATTATTAGCTATTCTTACTTCAGAAACAAAGTTGCTGCTGCACTGCTTCATGAGATTAATTTTTTTTTAATGTAATTAGAAGCGCTGACTCCTCTGGTTAAACATCAGGAACTACTTTCTCAAGAGCGCCTCCTTGATCCCTTGTCTCCATCCTTCAGCCAAGATGTTGTGTGTCCAATTTAGGTTTTATTAGTGGTGGGGTAGGTGGGAGGTCACTTGCATTTCCTTGCACAGCCATTTTCTTCAGAGATGAACTATCGTAAAATGGAGCTAGGCAATCCAAAAATGGATTTATATGCCCTAGTGGATTCTGTTGCTGGTGACAGCTCCCTGCACATCAAGCTGGGTCACATGATTAGCAGGTTATTAATATTACATGTTATGGGGACAGCGTGGTCTAGTGAGTAGGGCAGGAAGTCAAGATACTTAGGGTCCTTTCCTGGTTTAGCCAATGACTGACTTGGATGCAAGACACTTTCCCCCCTTGGAAAAAACACTTACCTGATCTCGGAAAGTGCACCAAGACAAAAAGAGCTGTAGAAGAGCCAAGCGCCAATACAAATCTACCGAACAGGTGTGCTATAAGATGCTCACAATCACTGTTCACTTCAGGACACTCACCCACCAAGTAAAGGGGTCAAGATTTTCAAGGGTAATGAGGGCTTCCCTAGTCGGTTTTAAAAATGATCAGTCATTTACTTAACACACTGAAACACACCTGAGCATACGCATTTTCTCTCTTATCTATAGAGACAGTAGACTAAAAAGCAATAGCTGAGCCTGAGAAATTGAAGCGGGTGCTATATTAATGCATTTAAGGACCGGTTGTGCCGGGATAGCGCACAGATCTGCGCCTGAATTAACGACGCTCAAAGGGAGTCCAGCAGCCACGTCACACCCTACCGTTGCCCTATTTTGAGAGGGTAAAAAGGTGGGCCCAGGTTGGTTGCCGGGCATGGGGATGCGTTTCGCTCTAGGTAAACGTGCCTTTTTCTGTTTTATACGAATATCTTCTTGAATCAGCTGTTTTAGCTGCCTCTGTTTTGGAGCCCCCTCGCTCCATCCAAAGTAGCTGCTATCAGTCAAAACTTTCAAAAACCCAATGTATATTTAAAGCCCTCTTCTTTCAAAATGTGCCATGTGTGCTAGGTTTACCAGCTGAAAACCATTATTGTGGAAAGGGACCTGACAAGATCTTGCGTGCACATGCACTGAGCTCTAAGTTGAGGGAATTTCATCCACTGAGGCACAAAACTGATTTAATGAATTGTGAAGATCACTACACTGAACAAACACATTTTCTTTTTGATTAAATTATAACCAGACCTAGCTCCCCCTGCTAGTGTCAGGATTACAACTGAGAAGTAAAATATGACCTAGAAACAAGGTTGTTAGTATAACAGCAGCAGCAATGTCTTAATCGCTTAAAATAAAATACAAAATATTGCACTGCTGTAACACACACACAACATTTTGCGGGGCACAGGAAGAGCCTCCAATGAAACACATCTAACAATACAAGGGTAGGGTTGCCCCCAAAGTACTTTAGTAACACAAAGACCATTTCTCATGAGTAGAACTGGCCAAAACCAGGCAAAATCATCATGAAACACCACAGAAAATTTTGCACAACTACTTGACCAGAGTAAAATGCAGTCAACACAAATGAGTTGACAAGTCATTCTCTGCACATACTAAGTTGCTTTTATTAATCCAGAACTGCATGCTACAGATACTGTACAGCATGAACATTTATTCATTACAAAAAATGGCTTCCAAACCATTAAAAATGAAAAATCGGAATAAGAGCATAAAACGGAACAGTAACATCACAACTGTTAGGAAACATTCAAAGTATTCACAAAAAATGTTATAGTTAGCATTTTAATAAACCAGAGAAAAATCTGAGACAGTTTTACAATCGCTTCATGTCAACTACAATGGCACTGAATGAACAGATGAACAATTTTTCAGCTTTATACAGCGTTTTTTGCAACATCAACATGCCTAGGATTTTTTTTTTTGTTTTAAGTTTGCTACCTACCTGTATGTAGTAAGTGTACATAAAAGTGGCAGTCTGATTTTCCTTTTATGAATATTCTAATATACAGAATTTGGCCCTTAAGGGTTTACACCTCTTCATTTTAAATGCTTTCCGGACAATCTGCTACCAAACACATCTGTTATAGGTGACATTAAAACTACATATATATCTACCTATGTAACATCACAGCAAAACATGATGAACAAAAAAATTACAGCATTAAAAAAAAATAATAATAAAAAGTCATTGGGAGAAAAGTTAGAAGTCACTGAGAATTTTGGCACATAAAAATTTTTGCACACAGTCTACAGTCCTAATGTCGCAGGGATTCAACTGCAGTTCTGAACGAGACGCTTGGACGTTACTAAAAATTCCCTTGCTAATTTTCAAGTCTTTGTGTGTGTTTGTATGCGTGTGTGTGTGTGCGCGCGTGTGCGCGTGTGTGTGTAATGGCTTTTGTTTGATTTACTTATTTTTACACTATTGATCCTTTAAAATGCATCTGCAAATGTCCTTTTGGTGGCAACTGTGTTTCATACAGAAAAAAAAAAGAAATTAAAACAACAAAACAAAAACAAGACCCCCCCCGAAAAAATATATATATACACATTTATATATAAACTTAAAAACCTTGTACAAATGAGTTGTTATATATAAGATGCTTACACTAAAGGGGAAAAAAACTTTATACAATGTTTCAAGGGGGAAAAAAGGAAAAAAAACATTTAAAAAGGGACAACATACAGATACAACAAGCAATCTCTAAAGCAATAAATACTACTGGTCCAATAGCATTGTGATACTTTTAATTGTGTGTAGCATTCCCTCCCCCAAAAAGAACAACACCATGGAACAAGGTATATTAACACATTTTTAACCCTTTGTTTCTGTACATTTAAACAATAACAAGTAACATCACAATAAAGGTTGTTTCACACGAGGAAGAAAAAAAAAAGTAGCGGCACTGCATTCATTGTGCCCTTAAAGGTTTAAAAACCAGATGTAAAATGATTGGTTCGCAAGCTCGTATTTAATACAAATAATAAAGAACCAACACCTTCTGCGAGGGCTGCTTCAAAATTGCTTCTCTTTTATTTTTTAAAATCAGTCTTTAAAACTAAGCTATTGGAACTACATAACAGTTATGTATATATATATATTTTTTAAACGCTACAAAGACTTTAAACAGCTGTTGATAAAAATTTTGGCAGAATCATGAGGCTTTCTCATCTACATATTTAAAAGGAGAAATTGAAATAACGATGGGTCAAATATTGACCAATGAACTCGATAAACATCAACTAATGTAGCCATATGGCACGAATTTAAAAAACAAAAACAAAAACCCGAGGGGGGAAAAAAAAAAACAACCAACCAAAACAACCAAAATAACTGATCCAAAATACCCAACACATTAAAAATAAAGGGCTAAAGAGGCTAAAGCTATTCTAAAGACTTGGTTACAAGTGACAGTGGCTGGGGCTGTGTCCCGGCCAACGAATTATGGGAATGCAAAGAGGATGTCGAAGGTTGTGCTAACGATGAGGAGGGTGCTGCTGACGGCTGTAAAGTGGCAGGCTGATGATCCAATGCCCCGTTCTGACAATTAGTAGCAGACAGGGCGCTGGGCTTGCTGGCGGAGGTTTCGGTCAGGACTAAAGAGGATGGCGGTGGCATCAGGGAGAGGTGTGCCAGTGGGTCGGGTTTCAATGTGAGCGAGAGAGGTTGCGTTTGTTCAGTCTGTGGCTTTGAGTCTCTTGGGGGGGAGGCTAGCATGTTAGGAGACGAAGGAGGAGAGTCTAGTAAGCTTCCATCTGAAGAGGGTGGGCTGACGCAGCTGCCTTCACCTTGTATGTAGCGAACGCACTTTTTTTTTCTCCTAGAAACAGGGAGAGAGTTATCTGTGAATAAAGGGCAAAAACACTCATGGAGAAAGTTATCTAAAGCAAAAGAGCCACAAAATAAAACTATGCAGGGCTCAGGAAACTTTGCACCCAGAGCCTACAGCAGACCTAAAAGTGTTGCTGGGTGTACATCAGCAACGGCGATCTCTAAGGAACCTAATGTCTAGCTGGAAGATTTGGACAGAAGACACAAAATGCCTCTGTAAGCCTCTTGGTTCAGGCAATTTAAAAGAAAAAAAATAAAAATCGGATGCCAGGTCCTTAAGCCCAGTATGTTAGTCTCTGATCTGTGCTTCCCTTAAAAAAATGTAAAATTAAACCTGATAAAATAAAAAAAAAATTAGAGAAAGCTAACAAATTTTCCAAATTGCCCTATATCGCTATCAGACTCTTAAGAGGCTGGCGGTGAAGCATCGGACATCTGAAGGCAGAGATAACACCACCTTTGCAAAGCAATGGTAGCGGTGAACAATGGCACATGCTTTTGTGGTGGTGGTTGTTGTTTTCGGTTAGGAACTGCACCAAATCCAGAGAGGTCAGTCTCAGGTAGAAAGAAAATAGAAGAGAAGAGAAAGAAAAACGAACAACCGAAGGAAAAGAAAACTAGAAGAAGAACAGGGGAAATGGAAAATGATCCAAAATAACAAGAATAACTGGTTGTATGGCCTGCAGGTTGTGGTTTGAAGCAATTAAATTTTTCTTTTCTCTTTCTGGGGGGAGGAGTTGGTTTTGGGGGATGGTTTTTCTTCTGCATTTTTTGGGAATTTTCCTCCGAGAGGCCATAGCTATCATCTTAGAGCAGGATCCCAATCTCAGTCAGTTGAAGAGCTCGACAACAGGCGTAAAGAGGGGGAGCAACATGGAATTTAGTTTACACCACGAGTGATATGTGTCTCACAAGAAATGAAGCCCTTAAAAAAACAACAACAAAAAAACCCCCAAAAACCAAACTCTGACCAAAACAACTCTCTCCTTCCTCTGTCCACTTTGTAATGTCATGGCGTAATGAACAGCAGATGAGTTTTGCCAGGTCTCACTTGCCATGTGGATGCAAGACAATTCTAGTTGTAGGAGAAAACCAATTCAGTACATGACTAAAGCATCTCGCAGAAAGAAATTCTGGAGCCGAATCAACTCTTTGAGTGAAACCTCCCCAAACACAACTTGTCCATGGGGAGATCTAAAGCAAACCAGCATTGCTTCGCCCAAAACATTACTGCTGTAAAGTCTTTTTTTTTTTTTTTTTTTTATATAGTTCAACTATCCAAAGAGATGAAAGAATGCATCTCTAACCAAATTCCAGTGGCTACAACACAACTGCTAAGATAACCCAATAAAGCAAGGCCACACCAAGTGGAAAGAAACAAGGGCTAGTTGTCCATCTGACTCCCCGTGCAGAAAAGGAAGGGGACTAGGTAAAAATCCCCCAGTGATGTAAGCAAAGACCACTCCATTCAGCTCAATGGATTTGCTTCCACCTGCACAGAGAATGTATTTGGACCAACGGGCTTTTTGTTTTATCAACCCAGATGGTGGAAATAAGCATCTCTCCTTTTTGTCTTCACTGTGGTGCTGCTTTCTATGGAGACCCGACTCTCAGCTACTCGGTCACACCGAGATATATTTTGTCCGTGGTCAGGAACAGAATAGCCAACCGGGCACCCCACCTCTCATCAGTTCCAACAGAAGGATTTGGCAAATCTGAAAGCTTTGCAAAATCCTCTTTCCAAAGTAAAGCAACAGATTGAGGTTCTGCTTTAAACAGTCACACAGCAAGGTAAATGGTTAGGGCTATTAGAGTTTTAACCACGTTAGCCTGCAGATCAATACATGCTGCAACTAAAAAAAATAAATAAAAATCCATGCACTTAAAGATGTTAAAAAAACCAAACCAAACCAAAAATAAAGAATGAGGAAGAGACAGAAAGACAGAATAAGTGAAGGTGTCAGGCAGCAAACCATGCTTTATTAGAAGCAAAGTTAAAAGATAGAAAAAGCAACTTGGTGGGCTCAAAACAGAACCTGGTTAAATTCCTAACATCAAACAACAACACCAGAAATGTGGGCATTAGACAACTACGTGAACTGGGCTGGATTAGTTCTGCCATTGCCTACCCACCCCGAGACCGATAGGTTTTCTGGCGTGAATTTGTACAATGCTACCTTAACCGCAATATACAGCAGCTGGGAATGGAGTTTCATGAGGTTCTGACACCGTCATGGTCAATGGCTATTTAAAAAATAAATTAAAAAAAAAAAAATCTAAGTTCCTGCCATGAAGAGACCCAAACTGTGCTTGCCTTATGAATCCCAGTAGTCCAACAGGCAATCAGCATCTTTGATCTTAAAAGGAGCTGAAATGGCTCATTATCTTGCAGGAGATAATCAAACCACTGAGGGCACGGGCTCAATATCCTGAATTTGATACATTTCCGTTTTTTTAAAAAACAAGTTTTATTTTTGGCTTGTGGTTGACAAGAAGAGGCAGAGTTTCTCATGGCCAGGGCATGAAGGGGCTAGGGCTGGGCTCTTAATATCCTTTCCAAGGTATTCTAGCATAGTAAACTCTTTTCCTTTCACTTCAGTTATTTTAGTACGGCACTCTTTTCTACTGCTACTTTCTCCTTTTGTGGATTGTTTAATTTAACAGAGACCTGCCTCCCAGGTTGTGCCATTCCCCTTGTGCACTATTAACTCTGTCTGAAGCACAGACGTGTGTGTGTGTGTGCGCCATTCCCCGTGTGCATTATTAACTCTGTCTGAAGCACAGGCGTGTGTGTGTGTGTGCGCCATTCCCCGTGTGCATTATTAACTCTGTCTGAAGCACAGACGTGTGTGTGTGTGTGTGTGTGTGTGTACCTGTTCGGCAAGGAGCATGCAATAAAATCATTAGAAGGCTACAGGCCAAATCTGTCACATATGGGTTACATTTATGCAAGGAAGTCACTACAGAGTAGGGATTAAGTGCAGAGCTGTGAACCAGGTGCTCCCAAGCTCTTAGCCCTACTTCCATATGGGTTTAATATGTGCCCTTGGTCACCCCATCTCTAAAATGGGCATAAGGATGCTAATCCTCCATTGTGAGGATTAGAACTGGTGCACTGTTTTGAAATCTGTTAAATGCTATATATAAACATTACTGAGGTCAATAGGGCTGCACCCATTCATATCACCAGTAAAACTAGCCCTAAAACACTGTCCCGAAAACTAAGGACACTGCTATTGCCAAGGATGAAAGTCACAGATAATGGCAAGGGTTCTCTGACTTCCACCTACTGTGACCAAAGATGTCTCGCTTTGTGTTGCAGTATCAAACCACACATCTTTAGAGCCTATTCCCCAAAGAACCTCTACAGAAAACTACCTTTCTATAAATACGAACCTACAAGGATTAGGACCAGCACCAGGACAACTGTGCAATAAACTCTGCCTAATGAGAAAATGCTACAATGCATGAAAGAAAAAAAAAAATCCGTCAACGAATATAAAACTAGGAGCTCTGTCATTATAAAAGGCATTTGGCTCCAGTCAAAGTACATAATGAAAACCGTCCCAACAAAACAGATTCTGACCTGCAGCAAAGATTTCCTAACAAAACAGAAGTAAATGTAGGCAAAACTAAAGTGAGAAACGATTTTAATTGCTATAGCACACAACCAATGTGCTGCCAAAGTGATAATCCTATGGATCAAAGTAAAAGCCCTTCTAATGATAAAATGTATCTTTAAAAGGTACGATGTTAACTTAAATGGATAAGGAATGATAAATGATCCAAAACTGATGTAAAACTAAGCTGTCCACTGACGGAGCATACAAAGTTTGATGAGTGTCAAATATAGTGTCTATAAACGACACAAGCATCTACTGAATGTGGACCCTAAATTAACCTAGTACGGTCCAACGACATACAGCGTTAGAGTCTTTAGCTATTACAAGATTCAAGCCGAGTACTTCACAGTCAGGGACTATTCAATTCAATTCAAATCTAGGTGAATTTTTTCCTCCATTTTAAAGGGATTTTTGTTTTGTTTTTTTGGGGGCGGCAGGGGGGGAATTGTTGCTTTTTTTAAATTGCTACTTTAAAAGATATTTAACATTGACACGGACATCTAAATGATTGTCTTTGCACCTCACGTACAACTCACAGTACTAAGCATGCATCTAATGGAAGTTATTAGTGCTCAAATGTAGGAGAATGCAGTCCCCTCCGAAGCCTTCTCTTATCTACTGTTCAGACATTCGTCAATCCATGTTTGCACTTGGAATCAAGGGAAACAAAAGGATTGTGTGCATGCACATAATGTGATGAACATCTGATCTAGGGTCTACATGAGATGAAGCACATGGCAAGGGAATGAACCAGGGGGAGAGGGGTGAGACAATAGGTACTACATACAGAGTGTGGTTGGAGTTGAAATACCTACCATCATAATATTCCAAATTCAAAGACTGCTTGTATCAGAACAAAGAAACAACAAATTTAACCAAATGTGGTCATTAAGGAAAAGGAGTGAGAAAAGCGCTAGTTGGTATCCCTCCACCAAGAAAGAAGTACCTACTGAGTTATCCGTGGAATGACAGGTTTGGTTTAAACTGTAGTAGAACATGGGCTGTCGAAATTTGGGTTCTTGGTGTCTTTCACTTCCTTTTTAAAGCTGAAAACTGGCCTACCAAAGCTGCGATTAGTATTTTTTTTTCATCTACAGCTCAGGAGTTTACAGCTCACTTGCTGGTCAAATTGCAAGAATTTCTTTCCAGCTTTAGAAAAATGGCATAGGATCATTTCAAAATATGGTAGATATGTTACAGAAATAGCTTCAGATTGATCTAGATGCATTTTAAATTTTCCAAATGCGCCAATGGGATGAGTACCACATAAGCTGTAAACACTGGCTTATATACCTCTAGTCACAAAGAAAAATACCAGTGCTGCAGATCACAGACTCTTTTAGCCCTTTGGAGACAGTGGACACACACACACACAAACAGACGCAGTGTAAATGTCCACCTAAGCATTTCCTTTTTGCTGACAGGTCTGAAAAGTCCCAGCTTTATACACCTCAAGTTTGGCTCGACCCAAATCTACCACCAGGGAGAAGTTATTGGTAAAGAAAGAGAGGAAATGGCATTAAAAAAATTAGCAAGGTATTTTGAAGATTATTAGCGACTGATGCCATGGGAGAGAGGAAGGTGAAAGGGGTGGGAGAAAAGGTTAAAAAATAAATCACACAAATGCACTAAGAGGACAGACTTCTTTTATTTCCCCAAAGGCCTAATGGGTAGTATACCTGCATGGTTTGCACCATAAACTCTGTCGGTCAAGCCCGAACAATGCCCGACACTTCTTTGGAGTATTTGCATCTGTTAGCATAAGGTAAACACAAAAAATACAACACAATGGTGGATAGAGCTCATTTGGACGTGTCATCTTAGCTACAGCTACGTTTCTCGTTAATCGTCTCTCAGTTTTATTTGGTAATCTCCCCTGGCACCAATGGTATGAAAGAAAGAGGACTTCCACAATGAGCCAAAACAAAAAAAATCTCTAAGACCATGACACTGCTGTACCACACTCAGTGCTGTATTATCAGAGGGCCTTGGTCATGTTCAGAGAGAATGCAACGTTTCTCGAGAGAAGCCTGGGAGGGCAGGATTGTGTTTGCAGTCACGGATCAGATATGCTTAGGCTGATGCTGTTTTACAGTGGGTTTCTGGCTAGCGGCAGCAAGGAGGAAGGAAATAAAAAGCAGAACCCTTTCAGAGAGAAGATAACTCATGGCAGTGTCCCACTCCCTTGTGTCTCCTAGATCACAACACAGAGCTACAAAGCAACAAGGCAGGAAAAAAAAAGGGGAAAGTACCAAATAAACCAGCTGCAAATCAGCCATAGCGAGTCTGGGAAAACTATACACACCTGCAGGGGCCGCACCAGTTATTCTGTTGATCAAGGCCAAAGCGCGCTCGGCATTTCTTAGGAGCGCTCAGGTCTGAATGAGTTCAAGAAAGAAGCGAGCAGAAAAAGGAGAGAGAGAAAAGGGGAAAAAAAAAGAGAAAGATAAAAATAAGAAAAAAAAAATAAAAATAAAAAAAAGGGAATAAAATCAATGTCCTTGTTATTAATTGCAAAATATCGACTTGATTTCAAAGTTAAGAAAAAAAATAGTGATAATCACATTTTTATTCAACTCTTGAAATTATCTGTTGCAATTAAAGCTGCAGTATCCCTTTCTCAAGGACTGGCTCTTTCTCATTTAAGAGAGCTGGTAGAGGAAAGTGATTATGGTTTCTTTAACGTGATGTTTCTGGCACGCCTTTTTTTTCCTCTCTTTTATGGTGGGAGGGTAGGGAAGGAAGAAAAGAAGCTAAGTATGGAAGTTAGATCTTGAACATGCTTTTTCCTTCAACTCAGATGCAAACAAAAATAAGAGAAAAGGAAAAAAAAAAAGAAAATTATATCTACTGGGATAATGCAGCTTTTGGGAAAAAAATCATTTTTCATTTAAATTTTTCTATTTTCTTTTCTTTTTTTTTTTTTTTTTTTTAAAGGAATGAATAAGAGTAAGCAGGTTGCAGAATGAACATGTTAGCAGCAGCCGGGGGGGGGGAGCATGGGAAGAGGGGCTTGTTAGTATAGCTAGTGAACTGCAATGAATAGGCTTAAGCAAGAAAGCAAAACCAAACCAAAAGAAAAAAACAAAACAAAATAATAAATAAACCAAAACTAAAATAATAAAAAAAATTGCGTATGCATGCTAATGTGAGAAGACTTAGTGGGAGCCATGAAAAATGCCATTAGATTAAGGAGGTTCAATACAGAATTGCTTATATCCTTTTTTCAGTCTCTTTAAAGAAATACTGCATATTCAATTTGCACAGTTAGTACAACTCTGAGTTATTTTTTACTGCATTATTGTTTTCATAGCAATTCTTATGAAAAACCAAAAAAAAAACAAATTAAAAAAAAATACTACCAAACATGTTATAGATAGATATAAATATATATGTAAATACTATAAAAACTTTCTGGATGGTATTTTTTCATTAAATATTATAAGTATTTAATGTTAAATTCTAAAATGGCAGGAAAAAAAATTAAAAAGCAGTTCATAAACTATTTTAAATGACTCAAAATGACATTAGCACCTGTAATCGGAGGAAGTGAAAGGCAAGGATTTAGGAAACATTCGCTGTGTTCTGAAAAAAAAGAACAAATTATACAAAGTCTTGAAAAAAAATTAAGTCAGGGCTTCTTCAAAATCGACTATCAGATTGCCTATGCAGTATTTCTAATTTCCTATAAAGAATGGCAAACCTCCTTAATTTAAAATGGGCATGATTTACCACTGTAAGGCATGCATCAGAACACACAGGTACAGCCCAATTAATATCAAATGCCTACACACGGACACGTACATGCGCATATTCTCACACACGCGCACGTGTACATACACCCACGCACACCCCCATGCACACAATAAGCAGACAACTTGATAACAATGGCATAGGCATTACAGCTATGGCTCTGCAGTTAAAGGCTCTGTGATTATTAAGTTACAAATTCAACTAACATTACAATGCGCTTTCCATGCAATGGTAGTTAACTAAGAGGGCAGTGCTAAGCAATTAAATTAAAATGCATTACAAACAGGCTAACTATGGGAGGAATTGGCTACCCAGAAGGCCAGGAGAACCTTGCCTTAGCCTTCTCCCCACCTCCCTCCACCTTGGGAATGCAAGGCCAGTCTCCACTGTTCCTCTAAGAATGGCATATTGACTTATTCTACTTACCATTGGTCTCTCCTGGCTGCTTATCCCTTTTCCTCTTCTTCTTCTTTCCCTGCAGGAAACATACATAAATAAAAAGGATTAAAAAAAAAAGAAAGACAGACACCCTGTAAGAAGAGACTGAGCGAGAGGAGGGACGTCTGCCCCGAAAGCTCATGACAGATGACGATGTCACAGACCCGAGGTCTGGACTAGACGTGGGGTAGCTCGCTCTCTGATCCCGGGGAAATCAGAGAAGTCACAAGAGGCGCCGCTGTTTACACCCACGTGATGGCCCTGCCTGCCCACCTTGTTCGTAGCCCTTTATTCTAGTTGTGGAAGAGCCTTTACCGGAGTCACGCACGTAAAGGTGGCATCCACAAAGGGCTCCAAGGGAAGGAACAAGGGACAGAAGTGGAAACTGTGTCAGGAAGAGTTAAGAAAAGAAACATATGAGGGCATCTCAACTGCCCCCCCCACCGCTGCCAGCCATTCTGGTACCCAGAACAGGCCAAAACACTTCACAGCCATACCCACGTTGATGACGACGGTGGCAGGCAGAGCATGAAAGCTCAGGCTTGGGCATATAGGCAGGGATACTTTACTGCCAAAACTAACAAGGGCTGGGGAGCAATGAGGACAGGGAAAGATGACATGCAGGAGTATCAAATGCAGGATTTACAGAAAACCCTAAGCAGGCCAGTCGGGGGGAAAAAAATCATAAACACGCTATATCCAAGACACCTTCCAGAATACGAATACTAGAGTTTTACTAAAACTGGGTCCTTTCCCAAACACTTTCCAAGAAGTACGTTTCACGTGCCATCAAAATCCAAGGTGGTGATGTGGGCGTGTTTGTGCCGCACAAAGCCGGCCATCACCATAAGACTAGGAGGCATCCCCTAATTAACCCGAATCCTGACAGAAGTGAAGACTTTTAAGTGCTGACTATGGGCTAGAAGGAGAAACAGATCTCTCTTCTCTTTTTTCCCCTAAATTTCCTCCCAGCACACAATGACATAGCTAACAGAGCAATAAAAAGACTAAGAAGGTTTTCAAGTGTCCGTGTCACTTTCTGGGGTCCCTGGATACCTTCTGGACCAGCCGAGTTAGCTATAGGCAGCAGTGATCTCTGCCTATGAAGGAGTGGGAATAAGAGGAATTAGTAAAAAAAAAAAAAAAGCAAGCAAGAAAGAAAAAAGCATCACAAGGGAGTCACTGAAGCCAGAAAAAAAACCACATCTTGAAAGTAGGCACCTTGCAGTGCCTTTGAATGGTTGGCAGGACCCACAAGGAGGAGGGAAGGTTCTTCTAGATCTCGGACATCTTCTCTTTAATAACTTGGTCTGGCTCCCATCTAAATGGTTCATTTTGGCTTTAGCTCAGCATGTCCACTATGATGTTTATGTTCCCTGGAACGGAGTAATAAGGAGTGCAAGTGAAGATGTGAATGCTCTTTTTGAAGGTGGAGTTCCAAACTCCGGTAGGCCTTCTGGCAAAGAGCCGCCAAACTTGTTTCTCTTCCCTTGTTCAGGTAGCAGACTGCCACCCTGCTGTCTTGGACGTGACAAGTACAGTGTTGCGCGAGGGAACCTTTTGGCGATTGATGGGCTGCGTGTGCAGTTTCAATGGACAGGGCTGTAGTTTTGCGACCAAGTTACTTCTACTGAGAAACTGTCGCCGTCCCCTCAGAGATGATTTTCAGAGGGGAACTGCTATCTCTGGCTATACTTCAGTAAAATGTAGGGGGGGAAAAGTAAAATTGTAAAAAACAAACAAACCATACAGTTGCACAAGGAGCCACTTCTCTAACCATTGGCAATGCATAGGGGGTGCACGTGCGCCCCCTGAGATTGGCCGTGCACCCCTGGGAAACTGGAAGTGCCAGTGGATGTGCATATCCGGTTTTGCTGCTGGCTCGGTGATCGGCCATTGGGGGACACCCCCACCCCCCGGTCAGCAATTGGCTGCAGGGGGACACCCCTCCTACCCGCGATCTGGTGCCTCCCCAGACTCAGGAGGCACCAACCACCCATGTGTCTAACATGGAAAGTCTGATGAAGATCCAGGACATAGGAAGGTGCTGGAGTCACTACCCCTGCAGACCTTGAGAATAAATAAAACAGCACTTGCTGATTGGTAGGGAGACCAAAAAAATAACTGGGGCTTCACACACCGATGTAAATTAAGGGTAAATTCTACCGAGGTCAATGAAGAGGTTCTAGATTGAAAAACTGTCATCTCAGGCCCACTGAATTTTACTTCAAAGAGAGCGCTTTGATAAATAACAGCGTGAACTGAGTATACAATAAAGGTATTTGTATTTTTTTTGCAGGACACCTGAGAAACTATAGCATTTCCAGACCATGGGCAGCAGAGGCAGAGATGCAAGTACCTCAAAAACGTCCTTTGCAGCCCAACAAAATAAACATCCTTTGCCATCCCTTGTGCATCCTCTTCAAGTCAGGTGTCAAAGGGCGTTTTTACACGTGCTTTGGGGGGGGTCCAATTAAAACGCCCAGCGCCCACGTGTTTCAGAATGGCAGTGGGGGCACTTCACCTTAAGCTCAAAGCGCCCCTGCTGCCATACTGCAGTGCGGGGATGCCGATACGCGAGATGTGAAGGCTGGTTGGAGAATGGTAATTATCATGCTCCAGATTCGATTAATGCAGTCTGTTCTGATGTACTGCAATTACAGCACATCGGAGCAGCCTCCAGGCTCATGTACAGGCACCAAATGTGTTATGTAAGCTCTTTAGAGAATAATCTACTATAAATGGCTGAAGAAGGGCTTGAATTTACCCCAGGGTTGGTTGGTTTGTTTTGTCTTGGTCCCCTTTCAACATGTGCTTTGGAAACTGCTCCATCTGGATAAATATTGGAAAAAGATGCCAACAAAATCCTTCTGTAGGCTCCTCAGAGACTAAGGGAAAAGCACAATTTTACCAGCCTTTCAAATTCCTATCTTATGGTGATGAAACAATTATACTGTTTTAAAGGAAGCTGGGCTTGCACTTCATAAGCGTGTTAGCAGATCTGCTGTAACTTTTCTCTGTCCACTCCTAACTTGCTATAAAGGGAAGCTAAACTGTGGTCATTTACCCGGAAATGAAGAAGGAGAGGACAGACAAAACAGTTATTGTGGATTCAACTGAACTGAGGTAATTCCTCTCCCCCTTTAAAAGTGTTACAATTGTTTTACCTGCCCACAGCACCAGAAGAAACCTGATGATATGATAATACAAAGTCATGGATAGGTCCATGTAATCAAGCAGCAGTTCTTAAGGCGTCTTTGCAGTACACAGATCTTCTTCTTTGTCTCCTACTTGTCCTACTCAAATTGAAATGACAAGGTCCAAAGACTTTTCTGGCACTGCATTACCTAGCAGTGAGAGATCTATATCTGGATATTAACACTTGCGCACGCTTTTGGCAGATTCCCTCTTCTTTTTCTTGTTCAAGTGACTTCTGAGATCTTTGTCCTTTTTCTTTTTTAATACTGATTCTCCAATTAAGAGCAAAGGTAATGTTGCTGAACCCATACGCAGGTCTGAGGTCAGTATTCATGGAGAAAAAAGCACCAGTAAGATCCAATAAACCTTACAACACTGATGTGATCCCATTCAACATACCCTCTTCAACTGACGGGAAGGCTGAGAAGCTGCAGTAATTAAATGTGCTATTGCATTTCTTAAGGGAGGAGCTATGGGTACCTGTGTGATGTAAAGACAGACATTGGGCAGACACTGGGATTGCCAAAGGATAGTTAAAACATACCCCCATCACACCTGCCTTTTCGAACCCTGGAAAGCTAGCTGTCCAAAGAAAGCCTCAGAGGAGGGGTAGACTGCAAGAACTGTGAATAGAGTGAAGACAAGGGGAAAAAAACCAGAAAGAAAGAAAAACTCTGTAGATGATGTGGTTGTGCGATGAGAGGCTATTGAGCTCTCATACAGAAAGGAAGGTTCCCCTTGAAGGTCAGCTGGGGATACATCAAGCCGCTAGGAAAGCATCAGCTTTCTCATCCTGCCTTTTTAGCTTGAGAAGAAAGGGTTTCTTGGTGCTCGCATGCTGAGGACAAATGTAAAGGTCCTAAACATTTAAGACACTGTACATGGCCATCTGTCAGAAACACAGTCACTACAGCAGAATGAACATTCCTGGAAAGCTTTTAAGCACATTGTAGGTCCTAGCAGTACTCCCTATTGAACTCCCAAGGGGAAATCAGTCTGCGCAGCACCTAGAACTGCTCAACCCTTCGGTCGGATGGTCTCAGCCCAGCCCATACCGAAGAGCAAAGAAAAGTGAGTTTGGTGGGGGAGATGCCTGTGGCTCTGTCTCTAAAGAAGATGCAAGGGTAGAAAGATACAGGGAGAGAAGAGGAGTTGAAAAAAAGAGAGGAGGGAAGAGAGGGAGGGAACAAGAGGATTTTCAGACTAAATATGGTCAGGTAATAAATGGTAATAACACATTTTTGCAGCATTTGAAACATCTGGAGTTCTACAACGACTGCAAAACTATCTTATTGCACACTGTGATTTGTCTAACCTGTTCCATATACATTTGAATGCAAACACACATACAGGTATCCAAAACTATATACAAAGCACATAGTTTGTGTGATTTATAGCAGAACAATGTTTATGGCTATGGCATGAACATGTTGGACAGAATACAGATTGAAGCAAAAAGCAAACAACAACAGAAAAGTTTTGTGAAGGGCAATCAACATCAATTTGGTAGATGTGGCCTCTGAGCCTGAAAACAGCTTTGCGTGGAAGGACTTCATTAAAGTCAATGTGATTCTATGAGGATGCATGCTTCATTTCAGGGTCAGAGACTTGGAGGTTTCAGAAAAAACAGAAAACAAAACCAAAAACCAAAAACCCAACCCAACAAAAGAACAAAAAAAAAACCAAAACAAAAAAAAGAATCAAGACTGCTCCATGATTGCATTCTGAGATTTTAAAGTTTCTACCAACCCACAAGGTTACAAGGTTGTTAAGGATTTATGGGCTCAAACTTGTAAGCATGTTCTACCAAATGTACCACTTAACTCTTCTTGAAGGAAAAGTGCTACATCTGAGGTAGGTGGTATCAGGATCGGGCATTCAGTTTGTAACCAGATGGCTCCAACAAAAAAAAAAAAACTTGCTAAGAAAAGAAAAAATGTTCCTCAAAAAACCCCCCAAAACTATCATCCTGAAAACAATCTGTTGCAAACGGCAATATCATTTTTGTAAACAGAACAACACAATAGAAGCACATTAAAACATGGCCATGATAAAGCATAACAGAATTGGAATATACAACAGTAGAGCGTGGAATAATTTATTTAACCCCACTTGAGAGTAAGACTTTCAAACAAGTCACACTTCTGGTTTTGCCAGTCCTCCTCTGAAGCTAGGATAAGTCATTCTTCCACTTTCCACAATACTCTCACACAGATAAGCACAAGACACTAATTATTCATTTCAGTGGGAAAGGAGGGGAGGAACTGTGGGGAATTAATTTTTTTCTTTTCTTTTTTTTTGTTTTGTTTTAAATGACCACAAGCCAAATAGCATTTGCAGAGGCTGATATACTGAAGGCAAGACACCCTCTGTAAGATTTCTTCATAGAGCTCTACCGAGACAGAGCCTCAAGTCTAACCTTTTACATCTTTTACTAATCCCAGCCAGGAAGCCTCTTCCGAGTGGAGGGCTGTCAATTGTACCCAATTGTTTTGGTAATGCAGATGATGCGTCCGCTGCGGTTACCGGATTGGGGTCCCGAGACATTCCTTTCCACGTAGTGCTTGTGTGCAATGTGTGGTCGTAGTTCAGCAGGTCACATATACAGTTCTACAAGCTCTACAACTAAAAAAATTTCCACCTACATAGGAACCTACATAGTTATCCCGTGCGGACCAGCCCGGGTAAAGCTGCATATGTAGCTGTCGTTCCTTTCTTGCTAGCTCATAGTATTTCGCTTGTTCTTCTCTGGATAACGCATGCCACTGAAGTGTGGAAGAGAAAAGACAGAATAAAAAGCACACCCTTTTTTTAAAAAAAAAAACAAACCCAAAAACCATATGTAAATAGCATGGCATATATTTATATATCAATATATTTGTAGCTGGTGCTCATAAAAATACCGGATAAAAATAGGCAATTGGCATGTGGCCCATTCATATTTTATTTATAACTCTGGATTAACCCGGTTAGCTCAAATGAGACTCCATGAATCATTTACAGTCATTCAATTCTCAGTTTTCATGAAGGGACAGAACAGCCCCAGCGAGAATAATTTTTGATGGGGACCAGGATCTGAATCACCTTTGGTTTTAGAAGAGGGTCCTTGGCTCCATTATCTCCATAACTATTAAAAGCCTGTCCTAGCCTGTGTAGCTTCTGGTACTTGTATCCCCCAGGTCTTTCACAAGTTTTCTTCTCCTCCCAAGCTCCACAGGGATTTCTCTCAGGCCAACATACCAAGGAATCAGGGACAACCGTCCCTACCCCAGGAAGCAACTTTAAAAAGTTGCATCATGTTCTTTCAGTCTTATATGCGTTACCAGTGGCAAAATACGCCAATGGGAAAAAAGCGCAGAAAGATGCTGGTTTATTTGAAATGTTGTGGACAGAATTTACACCCTGATATTATCAAACCAGGTAGAGCAGAGCCTACGTAGAACAAGGAGAACGTGCTCCCTTGATCTCTACTACAGACCTCACTACCGGGTACTGGTTCTCCCATCTGGTTCACCCAGTTACTTACCCTTCGACCAAGGATTTGATTGATGGCGGCACTCTCTTTCAACGTGCATTCTGCTACAACTTTTGCTCTCATTTCCTTCATATACAACATAAATGCATTAAGAGGTTTCTTTATGTGTGGCTTCTTTTTCTCCTCTTCTTTTTTGGAGTCCTGATGTTTTCTATATGATTAAGACAGATGAGACCAAAATTTCATAATGAGAACCCTTTCGGATCATTATAGTTTTTTCCCTAGTCCTCCTCCCTCCATGGATCTGCTCATATATAATTCCATCAAGCTAAAATTGCCTTCATCTTATACTTGAATTTTGGCCAATAAAAAAATTAAAGGATTTTTTGGGGGGCAGAATCCCAGTTGCTCAATATGCGAGTGGTATCCACAGCCCTATAAGCAAGCGATCTGCTAGGGATGCAACTTAGCCAGATGCATGGTTATCTTTAAAAAGAGAACAAAAAGGATGATAGTGTTTCACAACATGGTACTGATGCCAAGTAATGGGTCTTTTAGATATTACTGCAATAAAAAGAGCATAACTGCAAGCCAACAGCCTGAATATTGTCTATTTGAGTATATGGGGGAAAGTACTAAGCCTCCTAAATAGAATAGGTGTGCTCTTAGCACAAGTTTAGGAAAGAAAAAATGGGATTCTCTTACATTTTATAACCCCATATATGTCATACCAATCTTGAGCAGGAATGAGCATGGCTCTTATTTTATGTCTCCACCTCTGGATGGCCAGTTGGAAGCATGCGCATGGCTCAAACTGAGCATCAAAAAAGGCACAGAAAATTATCCAATGGCTTATAAAGGTTGATCTTTTCTAATGAAATTCAGTTTCCCTGGGCGTATGACTAATACCTACTCACCTACCACATAGGAATGCTCTAGGGAACCAAGTACAATTTCTTATTTTCACACTCCCAGCCAATGAAATTAATGCAATTACGTTTAAAACCCCCACCCCAAACAAACAAACAAAAAACCAAACAAACCTGTTATTAGGTAGTGATAAAAACACAATAAAGTAAAGCCCAGGATTCTTTTAAAACAAACAAACAAAACTACTCATGTAAATATAACTGATGGATCGTTATTCTCGTACTACATTTTCTAGAAGAAAATTGACACAAGAAAGAAACTTACGAGCTGTGGAGTGAGCCAACATCGCTCTGGGAAGATTCCTGTTTGACTGTTGGCGTGACTATGGCCGGATGAGGGATTCCAGTTGTATGTAAACTATGATGTGGCGGGACCATGTGTGGAGGGAACCTAGAGGAGAGAAAGCTGTGTAAATCGTCAGAATAAAAATGAATGAATGGGGAGGGATGTGTAAAAAACACACATTAAAAAAAAAGAGGCATATAACAAGCACATGACAGCTAGGCAAATCATATGAAACCTGGCAGCATTAATTAGTGATAAATTAAACATAAT